CACACACACACACACACACACAACGCATGCGCACTCACACGCTCATACGTGCACGTCATCACGCGCAGCTGTCCCTGGAGGGCGCGCGCCAGGAGGCCTCCTCCCTGGCGGCGGACAACGCGGAGCTGCGGGCCAAGCTGGACGAGAGCCGCGCGCAGCTGCAGAGCAACGAGCAGATGATCCGGTGGCTCAACCAGCAGGTCACCGACGCGCAGCTGCAGGTGGGGGGCTGTGGGGTTTGGGGTTTGAGGGGTTGTGTGGGCAACAGCCGTTGGGGGCAGCAGTGCACCCCTGGTGCAGCTTGTGGGGGGGGGCCAAGGGGGGCGCGCTGGGGCAGTGGGGGCTGGGAGGGCAGCCAGAGGGGGGCTGAGAAGGGGGAGTGGCCTAGGGGCCCGACCTCGCGCGCCAGTGGGGGGTGAGGGGATGGCCGGCCCCAACGGCTTCGCTGGTCTCAGGTTGCGAGGCGTCCATGGGTCGCGCAGCAGGGGAAAGCCTGGCCCAACAAAGCTAGGGCGCCTATACGGAGGTTTGCCAGGCGCAGCCGCGGCCCCCAAGCCGCGCCCGGCTCAGACACTGGATGCCGCACGCCTTGACCCCGGTTAACTGTCACCTGTCACCCGCCTACCGCCGTTTTGCTAGGTCAGCACGGTCCCGGGCTCGCGCTACCAGTTCCGCCCCACAGGCGCCGTGTCCACCGCGACGCACCCCGCCGCGGCCCTCCTGCCCGGCGGGCTTGGCGGCCTCTCCGCCGGCGGCGCCGGCTATGCGCGCGCGAGCAGCAGAAGCCCCGCGGCAGGGGCTGCCGTGGGCAAGGCATCGTTCGCGGCGAGCAGCGCCACAAAGCAGCAGCTGCCCTCGCAGCGCCACCCGTCGCCGCAGCATCACAACGTGTCGTCGCTGGGCTTCTCCCCGCAGACGGCGTCCCTGCCGCCGCCGGGGCGCGGGGGCGGCGCGCGGGGCGGGTACGGTTATGGGGCGGGCGGCAGCGTCGGCGGCGGCCTGTCTCCAGAGCGGGGGGCGGGCGAGTACGTCTATGCGTGATGTGACCTTGGGACCTGGACGCACAACAAGTGCGTGGTGGTTTCGTTGTTTCGCTTCTGCGCGGCGTATGCACCTTTTTGTCGGCTGTGGCATGAAGGTGGCCATGAGGGGCCAGAAGCCGCCGTCACCGCCACCCGGGCTGGTCATGGCAGAGCGCGCCGCCCTCTGTTCCGGCCGTTTGGGTTCAGACGGTCGGGGCCCAGGCGTGCGAACACGCACGTGCCCTCTCGCGCCCGCAGTTGCACGCGTCGCGTGATCATTGCGCGCGCATGGCGCCGCCCCGGCACTAGTTTGACCTGAGAAGACGCTCTGGCCTTGTCGCTCTGACGCTGTTACGAATGAGCCGCGCTGTTGACCGACCTCACCCTGGCCTAGCCTTTGACTTGACATGACTCAACCCGACGTGCATCATCCGTGCTGTGACCAAGCCCTCGCTGGCTCTTTGCTGTTGGAACAGGACTTGATTCCCTTCACAATTATCAACCTCGCTTGTGTGGCGGGCAGGGCTGAAACGCCTCTCGCAGGTGCCTTGCCGGCAAGGCGGGCGGGGGCGGGCAGGTGTGCTTACACGGCGCCCACCCTGCGGCTGACATATACATGGTGAGGGCCACAGGCCATCAATATTGTAAGGAGGAGGCCGCGCACCACGCGTATTGTGTTGGGAGTGGGGCCGGAAATGGTCCGGGCACCGTGGTTATCATTGCAGTGTATGGTGGCGCGAGCGGCCGCGCAGCACTCCACGGCGCTGACACCCGGCGTCGGGTCCCTGGCTGCTGGTGAGCGTGGTCCCAGCGCCCTACTCGAAAAATTACATTGGCCGGAGCGGCCACAAAAGTGTGGCGCGCAGCCTGCCTTGACAGCAGTTCCGTCTAGCCGCGCCGTCTCGGCGCGCTGGTTCAGAAACCAAGGAGGTTGGTGTGGTTCAGATCATCAAGTCCACGTCAAAGCGTCTGCATTGTGCCTGTCGCAGTGGATGGCGCGTCGCATCGCGCAGAGGCGCGGAAGGCGCATGGCCCCACGCTCAAAGGCCACCCCACACAGGCGGGAGGGGGTTGAGGGGCACCGCCCCACCCAAATCCGCCGTGCGCAAAAGCGAGTGTTGGCGCAGTCTCAGCGCGTTGCTCAGGGGCTAAGGGCGTCAATTATTCTGTCGGCAGGCCAGCGCTCGCAAGCGCGGGCGGGGCGGCGACGTCAAGTTGCGCATTCGGACACACACCAGACGGTCGCACGAATAGGATCACAAATGTGGATCTGGAGGGTTTGAATCTTATTGAGTCTCCTAATAGCATGTCAGCAGCGCCTGGCAAGCTCTTGGTTGGTGAGAATCATGCCCCACGTGTCTTGCCTCCTGGTACAAGCAGGCCGGGCTGCTTTGCTACTGACCGGCCTCGGCTGAGCTGCCGACGGCGCGGCAGCCGCACTGGCCCGCCTCCGGCCGGCCACTGCCGGGCGCTCACCGCCGGCTGCCAGTGGGCGGCAGCAGCCCCTGCTCGCGTGCCCAGCTGGTGGCGTCGTCCGCCCCCATCTTGACGATGATGTCGATCTCGTCCGGGGTTGGGGGGATGATCATCATCAGGAGCCACTCCCAGATGCTGTAGGGGTTCTTGTTGTACTTTCCTGGAAGAAGCAGTGTCGCACAATGGCGGGGTGGCCGGGTAGTTTTGAGGCACAGGTATGGCTTGGGGGCCAGGGGAGGGGGTAGCATGCTGAGGGCCCAACCATTTGCTTGAACCATTCCTACATCCTGCCCACTTATAGCAAACGCCTGCTGCGTACACTAGGTCCCTCCGACACGAGAGCATGCGGACCAAAATATGCACGTGCAGATGCGTGCACACACGCACGACTGCACACGTGTTCCCATCCGCACCTAACCGTACCACCCCACCCCCACACGCACGCAAGCGCAGGGTGGTCTTGAGTTAGCCACACAATGCAGGATCTCACAATCTCCCACCTGGGTAAATGTGAACATCAGGCCCAGGGTTGACTGCTGAGAGGTAGGCCACGGTCCCCAGGACCACCTCGTCAACTTTGTAACTTGTGACCTGGGGGTGACATATTGTTTATTTTGGGGCGGGTGAAGGTGGGTGCAAGGAAGCAGGGGTTGCGTGTGAGCCTGTTCAGGAGTCATAAATTGTGATCCAAGGGTATGGCGGCAGTCAGGGGCATGGTGCTCAAGGGACAAATGTGGGCTGCAAGAAGCGTGGGCAGCCGCAGCTTGTGTTGCTCATGAGGGTTGGAACACGGTTAGGCCGAAAGGCCACGCATAAACTCAGGGGGGCGGCGACGATCCTGCCTCACGTGCTTGCCTGCACAAACGCACTCGCCTGTACCCCTGCAAACCACAAGCGCGGCGCGCATGATAAATTGCCGCCCCGCACCCGCACGCACCTTGTTCTTGAGCATCACGTTCTGGATGAACGCCATGGGGTGCGCCCCCAGCGTGGAGCTCAGCGCGCGCCTCAAGACGCGGTTGGTGTAGGGCTCGTTCAGGCTGTCAAGCAGCTCCCGGAAGTTGAGGGGCGGCAGGACCGACGCGGTGACACAGAACGTCACGTTTGGGGGGCACGGCAGCGCGCGGCGGAAGCCGCCGTCTGCGGTGCGTGTGTTGCGGATGTTGGGAGGACAGACCCAGCCTGAGGTTTCAGGGCAGGATGTAGCTCCGCACGGCAAGAACACCATTTGTGATTATCTATTCGCGGCGCACGGCCCTTTCAGGTGGTCACTCCCCTCTTGCAGTGCTCACCGTATGACCTCACGCCCCTGAACGGGCGTGTCATCGCAGGGCCGGACCACATCGGCACTGGGGGGTGAGGCGAGTCAGCGTGGCGCGAGTAAGGCACAGCACGCCAGAGCCGGCACCTGGGTCAATGCTGTTCTAAAAGGCACATGCAAAGCAGCAAAACCAGCCACTGTCCGGCCAAGCCCTCTCCACTTATTGCAACAGTTTCGGCATAATGTCGAGGTTTGCCCATGCAAGTCCCAAAACAGTGCTGCTAGCCAACCCTTGGACCGCCTGCGCCACTCCTGCCAATGGAGTGCGACGCGCGGCGCCGCTCACGATAAACGCCGGTGCGGATAGCTTGCGCCAGGTCGTCCCTGCTGTCGTAGGTGTTGGTCCAGTTGCCGACTGGGACGCCCTTCTCGTTGGGGTTGGCAAAAAGGATGTAGGCCGTGCCATTCACCTGCAACGAGGACGGGTCCACCAGGCGGTACAGAGGGGTGCATGGGGTGATGCTAGGTTGCCAAACACATGTGAGCATCTCCTGGGAAACAAGCGCTGCGGTGGCCTGTGCCAGATGCTTCCTCTCAAGGTGTGCCCCTCGCCCTCGGTCAGTCACCCCGCTGTCGCTGCTCGCCCTTGCACACAGGCCTCCCTTGCCCATTGCGTCGCTTGTCTGCGTGGGCCCTCTAAAACAATGGTCCCGCAGAGTTTGCCCGGCCTCGCCCCACCGCGGCGCCCCGCGCGCCGCGCGCGCCGCGGCTCACGATGTTGGCTGCGTCCGGCGGCAGCAGCTGCTCCACCACCCTGGAGACCTCTGAGTCCAGTATCCCCGCGCAGTTGTTTTTCGCGCGGCAGCGCGTCACAAACTCCTTCCCAACCGCCAGGAACTTGTCGTGGCCGACGATCCCAAAGTCCGGGGCGCAGCCGATTATGCCGCCGCTGGTGCCCGCGACGCGCGTCTCCCCTGGCTTGATGACCCCGAGCTGCTGCAGCACCTTGGACACGCCGATGAAATAGAACAGGAGGAGGCTGCGGGTTTTCGGGGTTGATGTGATTGAATTCAAGGTGAGTTGGGGTGAGCGGGGGGGGGGGGTGAGGACAGTATGTGGGCGTCACCATGCAGTGGATGAGGGATGGGGAATAGGGCCTGGCACCGGAAGCGTCGGGGGCTGCAGGAAAAGAGAACGGGCAGCTGCGATGATTCGTGACAGTGCAAATGCACAGGCTTTGTCTCACTGTGTTGCCCAGTACCTGACAGACGGTCAGGCGGGACAAGGCTTTGCGCAACGGGCAGTGCGGAGCAGCGCCACGACTGATTCATCGCGCTACCCCGTGCACCTCACCCTGAGCCACTGTAGCCCACTCCAAGGGTGTTATTCTTCACTGCCACTTCGATGGACGTGGTATTGAGCCACAAGGGGGGCAGCGGCCCCGGCGGAAACATGGTGTCGAACGCTCCCTTCGCATCATGGGCGAAAGCTCCCACATCAGCCATCTCTAATCAAGAATAATATGACCTTGATTCAGATAATGTGACACCAAGCACCGCACGGCCTCTAGAGACGCTGCCCCCGGCTCGAGTGCCCTCACGCAGAGCTGTGCAGGCCTCGCATGTGCAGCAGCGCGACGAACTCCACTAGATAAAGGCTTGCCGTGATGATACTGTACAAATTGCTCAAATGAAGACGAGGGCGGGCGAAACAGAGTGCTGGACCCTCACGCAGAGCCTGTGGCACTCCCCGGTTCGGCACTCCCCGTTGTGAAAAACGGGAGCGTGTAAGCACGCAGCGATTAACGGAAATTCATCCTCATTGATATGTGGTCGCATCAGCAATCATGCCGTTTACCAGGCCTCCCATCTGGGAGGTTTCAAAGGGGTTGCATTTGCAGCTGCCGCCGCATGCCTGTCTTCGGCACCCACCCTGCCGCCTTCAACATGTTTGTGAGACTTGGAGTTGCACATTGCGGCAATAAAAGACAGGGCTTGACGCATAAGGTTGCATTTTGCTCTTTGATTTGAGCAGCCACGCACCCTCAGTCGCAAGCAACACAATTGTGGGGGCAGTGCACACGCGCTGCTTAGACTCAATCCCAGGGTGGAAATCACTTATCATTTCAGCCTCTAAGCGTATGCAACAAATTTTAGCCTCTAAGCGTATGTAACAACATAGTGGTACTGGTAAACACTCACACACATGCAAGGGCCCACACAATAACATGCATGAAATGAAACCAAACAGATAGAGCAACTGTCAGACTGCCAACTAACCGCATAGCCTAGACTAACAAGGCAGCTCGCGGCACGACCTCTACAGCTGGGGCTGCCTCACACATTGCAAGCGCGCATCATAATGCTCACAGCAATTGTTGGCGGCCGCTGCACAAGTTACTGTGCATGAGCAAGTGCACAACCCACCACACCGCGACGTGGCACTGCGCGCTAGCCTTGCAGTCACTGGTTCGGTTGTGAAGCGAAGCACCGGGCGGCAGCAGCCCCATCCTCTTTCCCCAGGAGTAGGCATCCTGCACACCCATTTGCACCATTCGGTCGATGTGGTCGTTGGTGGGAGGCATCAAAGGCGCGGCGCCTATGGCGCAGGGCCTCGGCGCCGCTAGCCTTTTGACAAGAGAGCCCCATACCAGACAACACTGATCATACGTTTTGGTCTGTGCCATCCGACGCAAGTTGCTACCTTCCCCACCATGAGCAAGCTGTGATCCGGCAAACATTTTAGCTATGCAGGCTGGCATTCTTTTGAATAGAGCCACCGCCAGCATGCCTGTCGTTTATGCGGTCATGGACATCCAATGGACATCTGAAGAACCAATGTCAGGCTTCACACCACCCGGCATTCAGTTTCACTATGTTTGTCTGTATGAGGGTGAGATCCCGCTATAATCTTGAGACCCACCACCAACCAGCCCAACAGGTTAACAGGTCTTAGGGTCACTGAGGGTACCCATGCCGCACATATTCCAGTGGCGGGGCCCATGTGCATGCCAAAAAATGCGCTAGGAGCAATAAACAGAGACGCAGAATTGGACACGTCAATAGGGTAGAATTCGCACGTCACCATCCAAGAATGATCGACCCACTTGCAGTGCACACAAAGGCGCACAATATGCTTGCCCAAAGGGCGGCATACATGTACATGTGAGGGGCTGATTGTTGATGTGCAGGTACGGATGTTGGTGCGGGTGGTACATCTAGTCGCTGCACTCAAAATTGCGAACCAATACATTATTAATGTTGGATGGATATGGGCATGACATTGGCAGTGTTCGTTGGCACGCACACCATTGAGGCAAACCAGTGTGCCTTGTGAACTACAAATGGCACCCGCCGCAAGCACCACAGGGTCAAGCACGGGGAAGTGCCCTGCATGGGCAACCTCACGCAGCGCACAATGGAGAAGGAAGGCCTGCGGGTCAAAGCTGCGCTGATGGCGCATGGTGCGCCGCTCGCCGCGCATTTGCTGCCCTAGAAGACCATTTGCATTGCCCCAACCAAGTGCTTGAGCGCCTTCCCAGCTGCCTTGTCTCGCTCCCTGCCGCACACGCCACTCTTGCCCCCTCACAAGTCGCCGTTCAAGCCGATCCGCCAAAACCAATCACCGACCCCCTCTCAAGCGCACACAACGTGATTGCAGGCCGCCTGAAACATATATGGTGGGCAATCAGCAGCTGGGGCTTGCAGGAGCGCAGCAGCTTCGCTCCTACCGACACCCAGCACGGCCGGCTGCCCTGCGTCACCGCGCATCAGCCGCCACTGCCTCACCCGAGCAGCGCGCCAAGGCTGATTATTGTCTTCGGTTTGGTGGCGCCGACCGTTGTCACGATACCGCCATGCCTGTTCGTAGGCACTGTCTGGGTGGTAATCGTTGGAATGTACGCCGGAGGCACCGCCGGCTTGGCCGCCTGCGCGTGGGCTTGACCAGACTCGTGCACCACTTTGGGAGCTGCCGGCTTGGGCAATGACCCGTTGGCCGGCTTGGGCGCTTGCGTGTGCGCCTGGCCAGACTCGTGCACCACTTTGGGGGCTGCCGGCTTGAGCGCCGGCTTGGGCGCTTGCATGTGTGCCTGGCCAGACTCGTGCACAGCTTTGGGCGCTGCGGTCTTGGGTGATGTGGGCGTCTGGCCAGCCGGGCCCTTGCGGGTTGGGGGCACCCAGCCAGACTCTGACACCCGGCCGCCTGGCAGCTTGGGCATGAGGCCATGCTCCCTGGCCCATGAGCGTGCGTCTGCCTCGCCCATCCTGACCATCTCGTCGATTTTGTCGTCTGTCGGGGGCGCCTGAGGATGGAGGGCGGTTACGATGAGCCACACCAAGAGTCGGGGGCAGCACAGCAGCGGGCCGCCAGCTCAGCAGTGCTGTGCATCGTCGTGAGGTTGATTAGTGGGCGCTGAACAGCCAATACACCTGCAGCGCAAGACTTCCCCAGCACGATTGCTTGTGCCCGAAATCCTTGCAAGTTCATTTGCTCTGTTGGTGCCCTTTGCAGCTCCCATTTTCCCAGACAACTTGGTGTCCTCAAGCCATTGGCTCAGCTCACCAGGATCATCAGCATCCAGCGCAGCAGGTTGTAGGGGTTTTGATTGTACTTGCCTGAGCGACAATGCGTGATTGGCCACAGCTTGGTAGGCTGGCACGGGGCAGCAGGGAAACAGCACACGCAGCCGTATCGACCGACTGCATGCCACCAAATGTCTCAGGTAAAACACAAGCTGATGTGAACTGCACAGGATGTATGCTAGACCCCAGCTCAGTAAGCCCGTAAAAACCTCTGGGATGCCCACCAGGGTAGATGTCCACGTCCTCTTTTGGCTGGTGGCTGAAGAACGCGTACCACCCTGCCAACATCTCCGCCATGCTCTGGCCGGGGTGCAGCGCACGGTTCGCCAGCGTCTCCATCACAAACTTGGTGATGCTGGGGGCGTCGCGGCCAAACGTGCCGTACATGGCATCGTACACCTGCGATTGAAGTGCGGGGTTGGAGGCGTCCACGCCATCGATTTGCTTTAACACCGGCCATTGGCGCCTGGCAGGTAATGACGGCACCCAACACACCGCGCGGCCTGGCTCGCAAGCGGGAGTTGAGCCGGGGCCGCTGCGCCCGCCGCCCCTCGGCCGGCCGGGCAAGCGAGCTCCAGAGCGACAGAGGCCAATGGCGCGGGTCCGCACGTATTTGTCGTTCTTGGAGTCAAGGATATCCTTCCAGACGTCCTGGAAGGTCCAATCGCAGGGCAGCACCGACACCTTGACGCAGTAGGTGGTGTTGCCGAGGGGGCACGGCAGTGGCGTCCGGAATGCGCCGTCTGCGGGCGACGAGGGGAGGGGGCCATTTGAGCTGTGAGGTGACTGGCGGGGCAGCAGGAAATCCGAGGGAGCACACGCGACGGCATAACAACAGGCATTCAGCACCGCTACAGCAAAGCGCAAGACCCGTGCGCATCCGAGTTGGGGGGCAGGATGGTGCTCCCACCGTATCGCTTTTGGCCGCGGAAGCTTGTTGTGATGGTGGGTCCCGACCATAGCGGCACTGCATGTTGCGGACACCGCAAGGGTCACGATAGAAATCGGTTGTCAGCTTTGTGGTCCATGCTCGGGGGCCAACTGACCTTCATGCTGTGGGGCTACTCTTCTGTAGGGCGGGCCCAGAAAATCAGCAGCAACACAATGCATAATGCTCCACAGCGCTCACCGTACACGCCGGTGTACACAGCGTTGATCACATCTGCGGGTGCAGCGCAGGTAGCCACATGAGGATTCGCGCGTCAAGCCGCCAGCTTGGCGGGTTGATAGACAGGACACCCCTTAACAGTGACTTGCTCTCAATGTGTGCTTCCAGACTTAAGCGCCTGCCCGCTGCTGTACCAGCCGCCAAGCATACAATTGCTGCACCACCACACTCACCTCCACCCCCCAATGAGAAACTGTCAGCTGTCGGTGCCGCTGCCGGCTCCTCTGCTTTCATCGCATGCCTTTGACCTCGGCTGTGCACCGCCCCCAGAACCCCTGCACAGCGCCCGGCCAACAGCCCTGCCCCTGCGCGCCTTGCCGGCTGGTGTAGTTGACCACGTAGTCGCCCACAGGAAACCCCGCGTAGTTGGGGCTGCTCAGCGCAATGTAGCCGATGCCGCTGATGCGCTTTGCCGCGTCCTGCGGCATCATCTTCTCCGTCATCTTCCGAACCTTGGGGATTGAGTGCAGTGTTGCGCAGGCGCACGCGCGTGATGTGGCGGGACCGAGTCACAGGGCGGAACGGGGCCTCCTCTTTGCCTTGTTTCTGCAGGACCACGGCCCCTGGTGCATGACAGCCCACCTCAAGTGGTGTGTCACCTTGGTGTGCGTGCGTGCGCAAAAGCAGATGCTCACACCGGTCGATTCTAACCCCGCACACCTCTATCCGCCCTGGCCACACATACGAATACACACAATCACCTCTTCTCCAAGAATGCCGGCGCAGTTGTTTCTGGCCCGGCAGTTCCTGGCAAACTCCTTCCCGTACTTGATGAACTGGTCGTGGGTGACGAACCCATAGTCCACTGCAGCGCTCAGGATGCCTGGGGCACCAAGGCGCGCGTGTGCGGCTATGTGTACAAAAGAGAACCAATGCCGCGACTTTGAAGAAGGTGTACAGGCTTGTGCATAGAGTGTGCAACAATCCATCTCCTCCCACGCGCTTTCACAACTGCAAGGGTGTCACGTCTGCACAGGCCGCGCACCTGCACTCGCGCCCGCCGTCTTGGTGACCCCGGGCTTCACGACCCCCAGCTGCTGCAGCACCTTGGACACACCGATGTAGTAGAACAGCAGGAACCTGGGGTTTCCAGAGAATCACCGTCGTTAAGCCTCAACCTGGCTGCTGCGATTGGCAGGCGTCTACCTAGGGGTGGGCCCCTTGTTCACCCTGCAGCGATCACACCCCGCCGGCCCCACCCACAGCGAGCGGGACGGCACGTCCTGTCTTCAGGCGCACACGCACGGACATGCCGCTGCTCACCCTGCGCCTGCGTATCCAACACCGATGGTGTTGCGCTGCATGGCTGTTTGCAGCGACGTGGTGTTGTGGAATGTTGCCCCAGCCAGCGGCGCCAGTGTGTCAAACACCGCCAACTTGGCCGTCAATGGATTCAAAAGCAGCGCGGTATCTAGAGACTCCATTTCTTTCTATACTTTTTCAACGCAAACGCGTGCTGCGCGGTCGTCTTGGCGCTGAGAACGCGGCGTAGACGCAAGAGAGCGCGGCGGCGCGCCTCCCCCGTATGCGCAGACTTTTCAGCAACTTTCTGATCCTTTTACTAAACTTGAATGGCCGACAGGCTCGCGCTGCTGTTGCTAGGATGGCTGCCGACCAGAAAGAAGGTAGGGAAGACGGGCAGCGTGGCTTCGCACGATTGATGAGGGCATAGACATACAATGAAATCAAAATTGTAAGATTCCAAACAACTTGCAATTCAACGCAATTGTTGGTAGGCGTCCACACAATCGTGCACTTGGCGATGAAGGAAGCCACGCGGCGGGTAGGACGCGCCAGGTGCCTGATTACACGCTTGAAAGCGCTGTCGACCGTCTATTGCAGCTTCAGCATGCTATATTGGGTGCGAATATTGCGCCTACGCACGTCTCCATGACCACCTGGCGTCCAGACAGCACACACCCATGGCGTTGTGTACTTGTGTGGTCACCAAACCCAAGGAGCTGTGGTAGCAGCCCCTGTACCTGCAACTTCTTATCAGGAGGTATAGCAGCTTATGGCTTTCAGTAGCTGCCACGGCATAGCGGTGATGACGCCTTTGCTGCTTGCCGCAGTACGCACACATTACTAGGGCTGCCTGTAGCAATATCATTGGCCAAATTTGTGAACAGCAAACTGCAGCAGGAACTAGTGATCTCGTGGTCGCTAACTATCCCGGCCATATCAAGCCTTTTTTTGGCGCAGCTAGACAGATGTCTGTGCAAGGACCAGCAGGCGACAGTCTTGGAATGATACTTGTGCATACGTCTGTATGTATTTGTCTGCAAAACCCAAGCATCAAGGCAACGTTTGAGGTACACCGGGCAGCCTGCAGCTGATCGTGGTGGTTGCATCCAAACACCACTCTGCCTTGGCTTGGTGGCTTGAATATGCCTGCTTCACTGCGTCCCACGGGCTCTGTGATAATCAGAGCGAGCGCAGAACAGTTTGATTGTTCAACTGCAGTGGGTTGATCCGAAAAAGCCGGATGAATGTGTTGGGGTGTTGTGCAATGCGCCGCAGCACCCAATGACGCAAGCTTGCTCCATGTGTCACGCTCGCCTGGCGGGCGCAATCTTGGCCTTGGACGGGGAAGGGGGCCACATGAGACCGCGCAAACACAGACACCTGCTGGAATACAGCTGATTTTCGTATGCGCGACTTTCAGCGCGACACTTGTGTTCAAGTGCGACTCGGTTGGCGTTTCGACAATCCAACGGACGAGATCAACGCCGTTTTTTTCTATTTTGCACGGAGCAAAGCGAATCTAAACGACCAGCGGCAGCATTATGCAGGCCACGGCACCTTTGGCGGGAACGCCGAGTGCGCCCAAGTCTCCCGACGCGCCCGTTTCGCGAAAGCCGCCAGTGCTCGCTGCCGCCGATCCCGGCGGCATTGCGACCGGCAATGAACGCGGCCCCTCCAGTCAAGAGCGGCCCTTCACGATGGCTCCCGCCGAAACCGCAAAGCTTGTCGGCGCCGAGGGCCCCACCCTCACCCCAGGTGCGTGCCACTCGCCGCGGGCTGAGCCGCTGCTCATAATTACTCGTTACTGCAACGCCAGCGCCTCATCATGCTGCTGCTGTACACTCCCAAAATTGGTGTCTGCGCTTGTCAGACCGTGCGCGTCCAACAGATTGGTCCAAAGAGGCTGGGTTGGCGGGACAGCAGGTGCCCGCTGAGGCGGCCACACCGGAGCCTGAGGAGGGGGCGCAGCTAGAGCGAGCTGCGCGGCAGTTTGCAAGGACGGTCGATAAGGGCGCACCCGTCGACCGAATGGTGGGTCGAGGGGTGGAGGCCAAGCGAGGTCGCACAGCATTCAGCTTGTTGCATGCGCTGAATTGCAAGGCAGTGGCCAGGTGCACGGCGCGCAGATTGACATCACTGCTGCCCAGCGCGCACACCAGCCGTGACGACGCCTCTTCGACCGCCTGCAGGCTTTACTACCTACCAGCCGGCAAACCGCTTGTGTCATTCTCACATGCCTCCCAGCATCTCACTGCGGCGTTTCCTCCCAATATGTGAGCCCTCATCCCACGCAACCACCCATCAACCTCACTCCCGCACCTGCCTCATGCTGCGCCACAGGTGTCATTCCTCACGACCCTGGTGACCTACCCCTTTGTCTACCTCCTGCTCGCGCGCGCCGCGCGTGGCGAGGGCGCGCTGGGCGGTTTCATGCTCGACGGGCGGCGGCGGCTGGAGGACTTTCCAGAGGGACGCGCCATCGTTGACCTCGAACGGTGCCTCGGCCTGGTTGGGGGTGCAATGGGTTGCTGTGATACTGGCTGCGTTGATGTTGAGGGTCGGGCCGGCTTCTGAAGACTCTTGGGTTTGCCCTGTCCTAATGCGGGTCGTGGTGGGGTGAAGTCTTGGCAGGGTGAGGTTGTGGATTCCAGCTCGAGCAGCGCTTAAGCATGTGAGATCTCCCTACCAACGTACGCCGACCCAGACCTGGAGCGTCAACCCACCCACCCCGCACCAACAGAGCGCGGGCATGCGCGCCCACCCACGCGACGCGTGCGTGCCGCCAGGTGGTGCCGCACCAACGCGTACCTCAGTGTGACAGAGGAGCTGGTGCACAAGTACGCGCGCACCGCGGCCGCGATCGTTGACGTCTACGTCGCCAACAGCACGTGAGGGGGGCTGGGTGCTGGCACATGGGGGCGCACATGCATCTTCATGTGTTGATGTCGGCACGTTCACCCTCGTGAAGCAGGCCCAATAAGGCTTACCAGGGGATCCCTCCCAGCCACCCCGGCATCGAATGTCGGAAGTGTCAGGTGGACGTGCGACGTCGCTGGTGCCAGTAGTGCCATGACAAGCATGGTTGGGCGCCACTCGTAGTCAGACAACCAACCCGCACTTTTTTTTCTCGAGCCCGCTCTGCAATTTCTACACCGCCCAAAACCGCAGGCTGAGGGCGCTGCTCCTCAACGGCTGGCTGCTCTCTCTCGCGGGCGTCCAGCCGCCGCTCACCCTGGAGGCGATCACGGCCGACCTCATGCCCCGGGCCGTGGACCTTCTCAGGCAGAGGGACCCTGGGCGAGCCCTGGCTGAGCTGCAGGCAAGCGGTCAATATTCGCGCCGCCCCGCACCCCGGCCTCGTTGCTCCTCACGCTCCTCGCATCTCCTGCCTCGCCCGGCCCCGCCGGCGCGTGCGGGCTGATCACCTGCACCACTCATTGAACACTCGCCAGCACAGATGTCATCAGTTTGTCAATGGGATGCCACTCTGTACTCCTTCTCTCCATGTCAGCGCCGCGCCCGTCCTCCCTGGTGCAGGATGAGGCTTACCCCAATATTTCCTTCCTCAAGCGCCAGCTGGAGCGCCGCTACTGCCTGGCCCGCGGCCCCACGCTGCTGGAGAGGGCGGAGGTGTTCCTCACCATCTTCAGGTGACGTGCGGCGCCAGCGATGACTCATCGTCGTCAGCCGTTGACGGCTGCTGGCACGGTGGCGTCAGTCAAGTCTGCGTGCAGCTGCGGCGACGTTTGCTTCAATGGCAAGAATCCCACACTTCGTCTGATCAACAGGCTTTCAACATTCTGCACAACGCACTGGGTGCCATGGTCCACACCGCCACCGTGACCGGCCCCTCCTCTTGCCTCGCCCCTTGCCCGGCCTGCCATCAGACGTGCCGCCCGCCTGGCCTTCGCCCTGCTGCGCCTGTGGGCGCGCGCCCTGCACTACGTCTCAAGCCTTCTGTCCATCGTGTCGGGCGCGCTGAGCTTTACGGTGGTGCCCGCCATTGTGCTTAGCGTGCTCAGCGCGGCTGCACAGGTTTGCATGTTGCGGAATGGCGCCTGCGAGGGGTCGAGGAGGCGCTGCAGATGCAGCTCGTGCCCGGCTGGCCGCGCGGCGCGGGTAAAGGGGAGCTCAAAGGCCTGCAGCCTTTCAGCTGGCACTAGCGTCAGCTCGACCCTGGGCATCCCTGCAGCTGCCGGCACAGCGCTGTGATTGCTAGCAATCCATGACAACCTTGGATTCCCGACGTCTCGCTGGTGCTGCCACCTTGTGCTGCCCCACAATTACGGGTTCTTGTGTGTGGCCATGGCCCCGATACGTAAGCGATGCGAACGAATTTGGTCACAGCTCCTCCCTGACTCAATCCCCCAGATTGTTGCCCTGAGTCTGACATCGTTCGCAGAGTTTGTGGAGCCTGTCATCATGCAGGCCCTTGCCTGGGGGGAGGCAGGCACCAGCCAGGTGAGGGATTGCAATAATCTTGCAGTACTGGCGTTCCCTACCAGCGTGCTTTACTTGCCGTTTGACTATTGCTAACTCCATTAGCAATGAAAGACTTACAGTCACCCTTGTTGTTCCCGGCAAAACGTTGCGTGGAGGTGGGCGCTGTGGCTGACGTCGGCGGCACCGTGGGGCCGCGCCGCCTGCCGCCGCGCACCGTGGAGGGCCTGTCGCCGCTGCTGGAGGGGCAGATAGAGGCGTGCACCCCCATCCTCAACCGCCCTGGTAGGTGGGTGGGTGGGTGGCTGGGTGTGGGTGGGGGTGGGGTGGACGTCGGGGGCTCTGGTGTGCTGATGAGGCACGATCATGGCGGCACAGGGGGGGACCGTCGGGTCTTGCGTTGCCCAGTTGCCGGGCCTCGTCCTGCCAAGGGGCAGGCGTTACTCTACCTGCTCGCACGGCTGCCTCTCGAATTTGCCAGATACGTATCAAACGACTCAATCTCCTGTTGCATGCCAACCGGAGACCGATTGCTCCCCGATGTACCCTTGGATGCCCTGTCACCCGCCCTTCCTGCCTTACCCGCTTTCCCCAGAGATCCCGAGGTTGTCAGATCAACCCCTGCTGGTCAAGGCGTACGACCTCGGACTGGTCGACGCCGCCGGCGACGTGGACCGCCGAGCGGTGCGCAGCAATGGTTGCTGCTGTGGCCGTTGTTCTGCGCAGAGCAAGCAAGCAGATCTCGGCTGGCAGCCTCTTAGCTGGACCGGATGCCCGTTTAGGTTGCATACATGCGTGCGCATGTCACCTTACACACAATTTTTGGCTGCAGCGCGCGCGTGCCCCTCATACATTGTGTGAGCAGGTGTGGCGGCTGCTGGAACGCGGGGGTCGCGGCGTGTTCAAACCTGACGGCTTCTTCGGCTACGCCTCCAGCAGCCACCGCCGGGTGGGTGTGCACGGCGCAGCCGCCGGGGCTGGGCTTCGGGCACTGGTGGCTGTACGCAGCACTGATTCCCCAGCGCGTCTCACGTTTGGTCCGGTGTGGTAAGCCTCGCAATGTCCATCCAGCATGCGATGCCGTTGATCGCGTGTCACGAGGGCCCCTGGCTTCACAATGACGATTCACCCATCCCGCCTGCTGCGTGTCCCCATCACCCCTGCGCTTCCACGTTGTTCTCCAATCCGCCCTCGGCGCGCGTGCTCCCCCTGCCCCCAAAGGCGGCGGTCGTGCTGCTGGCGCGCGCCCTGGCGTGGCAGCGCGTCAACGCGGTGGTTAGGGGGGGCGAGGCGCTGCGGTTCGTGGTCATCACGGGCACGCCCAAGGGCGGCAAGGCGACCCTCTTCGCAAGGCTCACAAAGGTGCGGCCGCGGTTTCCTTCGGACGGTGCATTTACTCGCTGCCCAAGCCGTGGCATTGGGGCTCAGAGAGGTGTTTACACAGCAGCACCCGCCAGGTTACACCCCTTTTTTTGGCAATGAAAGGCCGGATGCTTTCATGCGTGATGGTGAGATGCCAGGCACCAGCCCGGGCTCTGATGCACATGCTTTGGCTGCCGTGTATGCTGTGAGTGCGAGCGGCGGCTTGCCAGCAGGCTGCGATGTTTGAAGCCTCCCGCCGACTCAATAATGCCGAGTCATTGAGGACGTGGCAGGCCAACCGCCCGCTGCCTGCCTGCGCAGGGGCCGGCGTCCGAGTCCAAGGCGGGCACGGCGGCCGCGGGCGACGGCGGCGCCAAGAGGGGCCCCGCGGCCGTCGACGTCCGGCCGCTGGCGGACCCTGGGCTGAGGGGCGCCCAGGCGGTGGTGTTCCCCGGCCTGCGCTCTAAGGATGAGTCGACGGCCGCACTCGCACAGGGCCTCGCCACGGCCCTCGCCGGTGAGGGTGACTGCAGACGACACGCACACCGGCCCTCGCCTGTCTCCACCTGGCCACTCAGACACTCGTGCATGCGCAGTTTTCCCCCGCAACGCACGCGCCCTGCTGGCCTGCTGCAGATGGGTGCCCAATTGTTGCCACTGTACCGGCAGTTGGATACGCCCAGCTCCGCCACAGCATGTCCCGGTCGCCTCCTGATGTTCTAAGTATTCAAACGTCCTCCTGCCCATCCACCTTCCAACCAAGGATCCCAACCTCCCCACCCACCCCGAAACGCCAGGCATGTGCTGCTGCATGGTGTTCGTGGCCCACCCCGAGGCGGACCCCTCCGACCCGTCCTCCCTCGCACCCCTCGCCCACGCCCTCGCCGCGCGCCGCGGCGCGCTGCTCTGCGTCAATGGCCCCCGCCGCGCCGCCGCGCCCTTCGGCGCCGGCGCGGGGGCGGCGATGGTCGCCAGGTGGCGCGCGGCGGTGGACGGGCTGGCGGCGAGGGAGGGGCTGGATGCGGGGCTGTGCAGCGTCGTGCTGACAGAAGTGCTGGGGAGGGGCGCCGGCGGCGGCGGCGCTGCCGCAGAGGGACAAGGGGCCGCCGCAGGCGCAACTGGGCGCGGCGTGCGGGGTCGCGGCTCGGGCCGGGGCCGGGCGCAGGAGGGGGTGACGGCGGCGGAGGTGGAGGAAGAGGAGGAGGGAGAGGAGCCTGAGGGCGTGCACGCATTTGGGGACGTGGAGGAATGGGTGAAGCGAGAGGCGGCGGCTTTCCACCGGATGGTGTGATTTGGTGTGGACTGATGTGATCTGGAGGTGAGGCTGGGTGCGGCGAGCTGGGCCGCCGCATGTTGTCCTGGTTGCTTGGGTGACTGCGTCCAGAGGCGCCCAGGGCTGCATTTGCATTCTATTCATCTGCACTTCTTGCTTCTCAGGCACACTGTGTCGTGTTGTCCTTGAAATCACTACAGTACGTTGCTTGTTTGCAATGCAGTGGAATGCGTGCTGCTTGTTCACGTGGACTGAATCTGCTGCAACATTTGGTGGATTTGCCGGGTCGCACAGCGAGTCAGAGGCGTACCTGGCTCCCCCAAACTATGGCTTGCAGATTCGGTCGCACAAAGGCGCTTGTTTCACCACAACACCAACAGGGTGTTTTTGTCCCAGGCCGCTGCCAACCGTGCTTGTGCGACGCGAGTCCCAACCCGTGCTTGCTTTGGGCAGCTGCCATTGCAACCCCGCGCAATTCCTGGCAGAGCTGACGCCTGCAGCTGAATACCCCACCCAGCCAGCCCCAGCCCTGATGCAGTCCAGCCTGGACAGATCCACCCTTTGCATGCAGCGCACCCTGCTCGCTGCGTAAAGAGGAACAAACGCGTTATCGGGCCAATTGGCAGCGTTACAGGGCTGTGCCTGGCAAAAAATTCGCTCACACACACGAGACCAGACGTGACGAGCCCTACGCAGCCGCCTCGGATGTCCGAGGCGCGCCGCGCGGTGCCCGCCCCGGCCGGCAATCAATCACACAAACACAAACACACGCTCCCGCTCCCGCGCCCGCGCGCGCTCTCAGAGCAGGCGCAGGTGCTCGTTGGTGAGCACGGTGGTGGTGTAGGGGTTGGCGATGTGCGTCGCGAGGTTGGCCAGCGGGGTGGTGCCCGTGGTCTGGGCCTGCGCGGCGAAGCCGGCAAACGCCACCATGGCGAGGCGGCCGTTCTTGATCTCCTTCAGCTTCAGCTCCGCAACATCGCCCTTGGCGTAGCCCAGGGGGTCGAAGATGCCGCCGGGGTAGCCGACCTCGCCCGCGGGGAGGCTGCAGGGTTCGAGGGTTTTGGGGGCCGTGTTTGAGGGAGGGGGGTGCGCACGTCTCAAGAGTGGATTCTGGGGGCCCGGAGGTGCACCGGGCGGCGCGCTCGGCCGCACATGGTGCCCTCAGGTGATGCTGCACTGCGCAGGCTACGTCCTCTGCGATGCTGCACTGCCCAATGCCTTTCCACACCCATTGGGTGCACACCCACACACACACCCACACCCACACCCACACCCACACCCACACCCACACCCACACATGCGCGTGCACATGCGCGCGCACCGCCTGCCGCGGTGCCCCCGCACCTGTACTGGGTGAAGATGGGGTCCTGGCCCACGCTGCCCGGGTTGCGGATGTCCTGCAGGCGACGCAGCTCGGCCCACGCGAACAGCAGCACCTGCACGCCGAAGAGCGCGTTGATGGGCGCGTAGTACTCGAACTTGGCGTGGTCGAACCTGCCGGGGGGAGGTTTCGAATAGCGCGGGTTGCAGCGGTGCGGTGAGTGTCTATGAGGAGGAATGTGGTGCAGGGGCGATTCGCTGGATTGGGTCAGCTGCAGCCACGGCTGTCGCTGCACGCTGCGGGCCCGCTTGCTGGCACCATCCCGGCGTCTCTTTTACTGCCATCCATGTTCTCGATCACCCCCTCCGCAGATCGCATCGCAGTAGGTCCAGTCAAGTCGAGATGACTCAATCACACTCCCCTTTCAGGAGCTTTCCTTATCTCATTTCCTCCCTCTGCCTCACACACACATTCACACAGACTCGTGTACACACAGCCTCGTTCATGAAGGCACTCGGTTATGGACTCACTCCCGCGCGGGCTCACCAGGGGATCTGGGCCGCGGGGCCGCCGGCGCCGATCAGGTGGAACAGGTCGGGCACCAGGATGCCCGCCACACCCAGCATGGCGAAGCGCGCGTGCACCAGCTCAGCCTGCTGGTACCACTTCAGCTTGGAGGCGTCCTTGCCCTGGGGGGACACAGTCATCATATCAGGGGGCAGCGGGGGATACAGAGTGTGAGGCCCGGGGCGGGGGTGCCCTGCCGCTAATTTGCAACCAGACACCATTCCCGATGCGGGCGCAGCGCCGTTTGCGGACGAGTCGACTGTGCCGACGCGCAGCACTCCCTCGCCACGCAGGCCGCGGCAATGACCTCCGTGCCGGCCACGCCGCCCAAGGAAAGCGCCCCGTCCTCTGGACCCCACCTAACCCGGCACATGCCAACAATCCGCATCACCGACTGCTGTCGGCCCAACTCCAGCCTGTGGGACCGGTCACGTCCTTACAGGCGCCCTGCACGCAACAACCACATGCCCCGACCGCCGCTAGCAATACAGCCGCCACTCACCAGGCCCAGGGGGTCGAAGCCGAAGTCACCAACCAGGGTGCCGTCCAGGTGCTCAGGCAGCTTGTTCCCGGGGAACCAGCTGGCACGGTTGGCGGCGGCCGCCTGCGAGGGACAGTAGTGCGCGGACGCATCAACCCATGACGTCATCACGGAGTGCGCGTGCACTGGTCGACTCTCCGCCCTGGGGGTTCTGCCAGACGCGAACCGTGAATAGCTGCACTGATGCAGCCAATGCATGACCTTGGAGGCAGCAGCGACTGCACTCGGGTGGGTCAACCGCCAGCCACCCTTGCATGGGCAGCTGCCCATCCAGTGCCCGGCAGCGCCAGAACGTCACAGCCCAGACTGCACTGCTTGCGGCGCACCTGCTTGGCCTGCCAGCTCTCCACCCACTGGCGCGCCTCCTCAGCATTGGCCTGTGCATCGAGGGCAAGAATCGCAGACGAGGCGGCGTGAGCGCGGCGTGCGAGGGTGGCGGTGCGGCGCACGCGTCTGCACAGCCCGGCAGCCGCGGGCCCCGAATGGCGTCCGGATGCCAACTTAAATTTGCAGGCTTCGACCCCCACACCACCAGATCCAGATGCGCAAACCCCGGCAGCGCCCCGGTACTGCAGGAAGACGATCAGAAGTCTGAGCGGGTGCCTGCCTCTGACCTGCACGCGGACGGTGGTCTTGCGGCCGGAGGTGCGGCCGGCAGCGACCTTGTTCGCCGCGGAGAAGCGCGTGAGCTGCATTGTGATGAGGGAGATTTCCCGGTGCTGGAGGACCAAGGCTGGGCCTGGAAAAGGGATGATGGGGATCTTCTGACGACGTTAATCGACGAAGATAGCACGCAAACGCCTCGCTGGTGCACAAATTGCCCTCGGCCCCTGGCTAGATCCGCGGCACGCGCCTCTCCTACTTCCGTATGCCGATATGACTTGACCTGTGCAGCTTTCCGTTTTTGTTCTCGAATGTCTTGCTGCACTCACTGCCACTTACCATTGGGCACTGTTGTTGAGCGCGTGTCTCGTTCAAAAATTTCTCAGCACGGCGCACCCGTACGTGCTCAACGCATCCACCTTGTCTTGAATCGTTTGTGGTAAATCTGATACTTTATTTGATGAACACACACCGCGATCGACAGTGACACTGCCGTTGCGGCAGTCGCAGCACAACACACACCAGTCGCTGCGGCCTACACGGTCTTGGGCTTGCAGCGCTGCAAACCGGTGCCCTATCAGCCCACGGAAACTCAGTGCAGCACTCTGACGGAGAGGCATGTGGCGGTGATGGTGCTGCACAGGCTGCCACCAGCAACCTGCGCATGACCAGGCGGCGACGCCCCTGCGCGACGCCTTGGCTGTACTCGGCGCGGGCCGCAGAACCCGCCCCGGCCCTGGCGCCGCGCCGCCGCCGCCATGGTGCCCCTCCGCAAGCCCGGCGGCCTCACCCCGCTGGACCGACTGCTGCACCTGGCGGCCTTCAGCGCGCAGCGGCTCTCCTCATGGGGCCTGGGGGCCAAGCTGCTTGCACTTGCGGCGCTCGCCAGCGCCAACGTCGCCGTGGGGGCGGCTGCCTACGTCTGGGCGACTGGGGACGACTGGTGGGCGCGCACGCGCACCGCTTCGCCGCCGACTGTGTGACGGCGGCTGCCCCGGCAGACGGCCGCCCGCCAGCCGCAGCGCGCTGCGCGCGCAAGCCGGACACTGGCCGCGACCCCTCGTTATCAGCCGTCAGCTGCGCTTTGCTGCGCCCACGGTCCCCACGGCCCCTTGCCCCCCACCCCCCCACTTACAACTTCAGGCCAAACGCGCTATTCACCGTGTATGGCGTGCTGCTGCGCGCCCCTGGCTTCACCGTGAGAGGGGCGCCCACCGCGGCGGGCACGCTGGTCCTAAACGTCGTCCTCATCTATAGCGTGTGAGCGGCGCCCGATTCCGGCTGGGGCGACGCGCGCGGGCGCCGGCGCGGTCGGCCCGGCGGCCGGCGGGCCACAGCAGGGAGGCGCAGGGATGCCCATGCCCGCCCGTTGCTGCGTCGTGTGACGGGGCAGGTTCCAGTGTGAACAATGCTGCCAGCCCACCCGCACTCGGTATGCTGCGTCGCCACGACAAAACCTGCAGGTTCGTGTTTGCCATCGTGCTCGGTGCCGGCATTGAGGAGGTCAAGGGGCGGCTGGCGGCGGTGCGCAGCGGGGAGGTGGGGCTGAGGCTGCAGCAGCACGTGCTGGTCCTCAACTGGTGGGTGCACTGCACTGCCCCCCACTGCAATGCCTTGGTTGGGGGGCGGCAGGTGGGGCGTGCAGGGGCAGGCAGATGATCTGGTAAGGTCGGAAGACGGCTCGGCTGCAACTGCATCAGCAAGGAATGAGTCTCGAAGAGAGGTGTTGAAAGTGGGTTACTGGGTCTGAGGCTGTCTGAGCCAAGCAGCTTTCCCTCGCCCACCCCTGCACCCCCAAACCCTGTGGGTCGCCGCAACCGCACCCAAAGCCGCGTACGCCTCCTCTGCCCGCCGCGCGCGCCCCCTCTGCCCGCCGCGCGCGCCCCCGTGCCAGGTCCCCCCTGGCCGTCCCCCTCCTCCGCCAGCTCAGCGCGGCGCGCGCCGACCCCGCCTCGCCGCTGCACCGCCGCCCCGTCGTGCTGCTGGCCGACCTGCCAAAGGCCGCCCTGGACGCCCAGCTGGCAGAGGCGCTCAAGGGGCTCAAGCTTGAGCTGTACGTGCGCAGCGGCCAGCCGTGGCGACTGGAGGACCTGCGGCGCGTGTGCGCGCCGGACGCGGCGTGCATATTGCTGCTTGAGCCGTACGCCGCGACGGGGTCTGGTGGCGGCGGCGGGTGCGGCAGCGGCGGCGGCGGCGGCGGCGGCGGTGCAGGGGGCGTAAATGACGGGGTGGTGCGGTCGCCAGAGCCGGTGGCGGAGCGCGGGCCGAGACTCGCGCCGGCGGGGAGCGTGTCGGAGCCGGTGGCGCTGTTTGGGGAGGAAGGGGGCGCGCGGCTGTCTGGTTCGGGCAGTGGCGGCGGCGGCGGCGGCGGGGATCGGCAGCAGCAGGCGCTCAAGGCGGCGGCGCTGATGGGGTTGATGACGGTGCTCGGGCCAAGCAGCGGCGGAGAGCTCCCGCAGCGCGCGTCCCCATCCC